AAAATACCCTCAACTGGTCAATCTCCTGTTTCAGCTCACGACCATACAAATAAGCTTCTGTGTTTTGACTATTTGTCCAGGAAAAAAACTGAATTGGATTTTGATGTCTTCATATCAAACGTAGATCTATATATCTTAGCTTTAAAATGATACAAAGGTCACCTCGATCTGATCATTGTAGTTTAAGATATTACCAAAATACGATAAGGTGTCCAAGTTGCTTGCACTTGCATTTCTTGCTTTGGATGCTTTGCATTTCGTGTCTCCTTTTAGCCTCTTCCAATCATCAATTATCATCTAATTGTCCTCTCAATTCATGCCGTTTGATGGTTGAATTATAAAACCTACAAAAACATGAATTTTTTACCATAAAAATCCATAGAAATGCACTTTTGCCACTTAAACCACACAATGTACGATTTTAACCAAAACCCTAATTAATTAGTTATAAAACTTGTTAAAACAAACCAAAAACTAACTAATAAAACACACTAAAAATATGTAAAATATACACTTATCAGTGTCGTCTTTTGCGTCAAAAAGTAGCGATAGCTATGAGTATGTGGTCCTTAAACGATGAGAGTTGAGTAACTGAGTTCCTTCATTTGGTAGATGTCAGAATTCATGCCAAAAAGGTTGAATGGCTAGAGACTAAGCATTCCCCTTGAAAAAAAAAAACTCAAGTGTGAGGATATTTTAAAAAAGAAAAAAGATCTACTAATAGTGAAAAATGTAGAAGTGTGTGAACGAATTTTTAGCAAGCTGATCTATGAGTTTTAGCATTGAGATTTTGCTTAACAGTTGAACCATTTGCAAACGAATGCTAGTTGAATTCTTAGATTTGTTAGTTGAAAATTGGAAAAGTCTCCGGTTTTAAAAGTTAACTAGAGAGATATTTCTTAGAAATTAGTCACTAATACTTGACATGTGTTTTGATTGTATTTTGGCAATAGATGATTTGAGTAATAGCCATTGTTTGAACTCAATGACTTAGTGTTACTTGATTAGTTCTCATACTTGAAGACAAACATGATTTAGGTGTGAGAGAATTGATAGGATGCATTTTTATCATTTAATTTATGAACATTTATCCCTTGATTTCAGATAAATAATGCATTAATGGGTGGATTCTGTTTATATTTGGTGTTTGGTATTAGTTGTAGGGATCCGGAGCAAAATGGCATTAACAACATGATTTTTAATTGGATTTTTGTGCAATTCAGCGTGGGTGCATCAAAATATAGTTTTGCACATTCGGAGGATCAGGATTTGGCACGTGATTTTCAAATTTTAAATTCACATTGCAAGAATCAGTTGTTCCATCGAATGGAAGTCTTCTATTCTTACTAGGATATTAGTCTATTTATCTATTAGAACTATTAGAACTTTTCTTTTTTTATGGAATAAGAGATATTGACTTGTTGTCAATTTTGATTTGTCTTAGTATTAGTATTTTAGTAGAAGTAGGAAACACAACAGCAGGAGGCATTATCGTTCCTTTAATCTTTTCTTTTCTCCGAGCGAGAGAATTAGCACTAGTAGTGGTACTAGTTTAGGAAAAGAAAAGAAACATAAGGACGAGGGACTCTTGGCTTTCGTGAATTTTAGACTTTGTCCCGATCCCGAGAGACTAGTAGTTTTAGTAGGAAGCAAAGAACCGAACGAAGAGTTTTTGTCTTCGTCTCTTCTTTTGCGTTCTATCATCGGATGTTCATGCAACTTTTGTCAATGAAATTGCTTCAGTTATTCCCCAACGATGAACGCTAGTTTCTCATTCTAGTTAAGTAACAACAAAGGAATTGGCTCATTTAAAATTGTGAGATTGAATTAATTATGTTTATTTCTTTTATTTATTGATATTCTTATAGTTATTATGTTATTTAAATATCAAGGGCCTGATCTTTTATTTAATCTAATAATATAAAATCAATTAGATCAGTTAAATCCGTAATTATTTAATTATTTTAAATTAGTTGTGATTGACATGATTGAATTTGTGTCAGAGGAATATATAGGCTAATTTAAAATAACCCTTACAGCGTATTATTTAGTTAGAACAGTGTTTCTCTAATTCTTAAGGCAATTGGAAAATTGAACTCCACGATCATACCTAAGGTTATTTCTTGATTAGGGAAGTGATTAACATTGTACCTTGATCACCGATATAATAAAGAGAAGTTGATTGTCATCGCTTGTTTAGCCGTTATAACTTGTTTATCATTAAATAAATGAAAATATCATTGCATCAATTATCAATTGAGTGAACCATCTCCGAATTATTTTTTGGACAGGGATTATTCATTATTGATTTAATTTTGAGAAATTGTCATTTAGTTTTTATTTTATTTAATTTATCTAAGTTGTTTACTTATTCTCAATTACATAAAAATCCCCCTTACTCTGTACTCTAGAAGAAATGAATTATCTCCAATCTCTATGGATTCGACTTTACTCACTGCTATATATAAAATTTATATTTTATTTGAATAAATATTTATTATTGTACAGGTTCGACACTTGTCAACCTGGTAAGCTATTGTCTTAAATCATCATAGATATTAAATTTATTATTTTGTAAAAATGCTAATTAAATGTTGACTTCTAAAATTTCTTTTAAGGCTATTGTGAAATTTAGAGAAATTAATTCTAAGACAAAATAAATTTGTTTTCAACAACAAAACATTTTTCTTTTCTTTCTTTGGGAAAAAACTAATAGTGCATTTGGGAGGCAAGAAACGGTCAAAAAAGAAAAAAGGTTTTGGTCATCGACTTTTTAATTTCTGTCGTTTGAAAGAAACAGTGGGAAAGTTAACGAAAGAATTGAACGGATTTCGTCTTTTCCACCCGAAATTCGGCTGAAATGGTACGAAAAGGAGAAAACTTAAGTTTATTTTTACAATATGACAGCATTACCCTTAAAAAGCTTCTAGGGAAAAATTAAATTCCCCATGACTCCTAGCTTCCCCGTGAAACCAACCAAACAAAAAATTCATCTCACTCTTCCTTCTCTTCATAACAGCGTCTCTGACACTGCTGGAGAGAAAACAGAGAAGTTGTTCCTTCCCATCTTTTTGCTCCAAGACCAGGTAATCTTCTATTTCATTGATAGTTTCTTCATCTTATAGGCACATTGACTTGGGGTGTAGGAAGGAATTCCATTTTTGTCTTATGAATTTCCACAATTGCTGATGAATTAAATTTAAAATTTCACATGTATTAGTTGTTTACAAGATACTTGGTTGTGCTTTCTGTATACTTAGATTAGATAAAATCCACCACTTGATTCTTAATCAAACAAGAATAGGTAGAATGCGTGGCACAATAAGTTATTCTTAATCTCTTACTGGATTATTTGAATCATATAGGATTTCAATAATCTTTCAAGATTATCCCTCTTCAATAACATCTCCCAATCTTGGACGAGTAGGATGAGAGATTATGATGCATATCTTTCTAAAAGAGTCAATTATTATTTTACGTTCATATTGACTCATACAACAAACAAACTGAAAGCGTTCAGTTTTGTTACAATTAATTACCTACTTTAAAAGACATTTTTAATGTAAGGGCACTCTTGTAAAAATGCCAAGATCATTTCCATTTACTTCTCTCAATTCCCAACCATTTGAAGTAGTGGTTTGAAAAGTTGAAGAGTTGTAAGAGAGGTTTTATTTCCCTGAAAATGCAGGCGAAGCTTGTATCAAATTTTGACTTGTAATAGTTAAAAAGTGATATAAAATACAAAAAGTTTATGAGAATTATGAAAAGTATTGTCAATGAATGACACAATAAAATTATGAAAAATCAAGAAACAATTATGGAAGATTATATATTTTTATGGTATTTGGTATTTGATAAATTAGGATCGAAAGCATGACAGCATAGTTGTAGGTACCTAAAAATGGTTAAATATGATAAGAAACAGCATGTTAATATTCCTTTATAAAAATTGTGAAATTAAAAGAAACAGTAAGTTTCGGAGTTATATAAAACTTTGAAAAAAACTCATAAAAATTGAGTCTAACTTCCGTTTTTAACCTTTGTAACTTGGCTGTGTGACATAGATGTGTGGGTCCACCCCAAATGGAAATTCCAGTCTTTTTTTTTTTTTTTCGAAACGATAGTACTCTTGCATTGATCAATAAAAATGTTTACACATCGAGCAAAGGCTCGAAAAACTATACACAACGTGTTCAAGAACACGGAGAAACAAAGAATTTCTCATCCAATAAAATGCTTTGGGCATAAGAACTAACACTATTACAATCTATGTTATCATCATCATTGTCTAAACCAAATGAGCACATTCGAAACAGCGAGTATCCAAATTTTTGAAAACATGGAGGATGATGTGGGCACACTCTTCCTCATTGTATGGGTTTGTGGTTCCCGCACTTTAGTAACCTTTTGACTCAGTATTGTTACTTTTGACTTAGTATTGATACTTTTATAATTATAACCCAAAAAGCTTTCAAAGCTTTCATGAGAAAAGAAAAAGGACGTGAGTGAAGTGAAGCATAATGAAGAATAAGAAATACTACAAGGTGACTGAAAGAGGAAAAATTCAGCAAATAAATAAATAAATAAAGTTGGATTTATATATATATATATATATATATATATATATATATATATCAACAGTACGTAGGTGTCAACCGAATAAAAGCAAAGAATCCCAATGCATTTCGAACAGAGAAGTACGGAATAAGTAAAGAATTCATTTGCCTGCCTATAACGCGATGCTCGTCGGGAACCTTTCCTTCCTTTTTCATTTAGTTTTCCTTTTGGACTGGTTTATCTACTGCTACATTCATTGACGTGGCTGATGCTTGCCGGGTTCCTTCTTCATTTAATTTTCCTTTTGGTTTCATTTCATCTACTGCTACATTCATTCTACTCTTTCTCCCTTTTCAAACTTGCAAATTGCCCCCGGTTCGGCTCCATTCCACACTCTCAAAACTAATCCAATTCTCTCTTCTTACTCCCATCAGATATCGTGACCTGACCTGATGGCGGATGCACTGCTTAGTGCCACTGTACAAGTTGCACTGGAGACGGCAATAAACTTGGCTTCAGTACATATTAGCTCGATTCCGGGCATCAAGAATGATTTTGAGAAGCTGAAGGATACGTTGACTGTGATCCTGGATGTCCTTCGTGACGCAGAGGAACGACAGGTGACTGAAGAGGCCACGAGGCTTTGGCTGGAGGAGCTTGAACGTGTCGCTTTCGATGCCGAAAATTTTCTGGATGACTTCAACTTTGAAGTGAATCGGCGCAGGATCGAGATCCAAAACCAAACGAAGAGGAAGGTATGCTTCTTCTTCTTCTCACGCTTTAATTCCATTGCATTCCGTCGCAAAATGGCCAAACAGATTCGGGAAATCAATGTGAAGTTTGAAAGAATCCATGAAGAAGCATGCCGCTTTGGCCTACGGCCACTGGCTCGCATTGAACGTGCTCTTTCTCCTCAGAACAGAGAGACTGACTATGTTACTATTGGTACGAGTTTTGTTGGAAGAGATGATGATGTTTTAGCAATAGTAACACAGTTGACTGCCACGGATAACAATGAAATTATCTCCGTTCTTCCCATAGTAGGGATGGGCAGGATCGGGAAGACCGCATTGGCTCGAAAAGTTTACAATGATCACAAATATTGGAAGACATTTTGACCTGAGAATGTGGGTGTGTGTTTCGGAGGATTTCAATGCCAATAGGCTGTTTGGGTTGATGCTAGAATCATTGAAAGGACCAATGCCCAAAGTTGAGGGTAGGGAAGTCTGGGTCAAGCGGCTTAAGGAATTATTGGATGGTAGAAAGTATCTACTGGTCTTGGATGATGTTTGGGAAACGGGCTTAGAACAATGGAATGATTTTCTTGAAAGTTTGAATGGTATTAGCCAAGCCATGGGGAGCTGGATTCTTGTGACCACTCGTTCCCTAGAAGTGGCATTCATCATGGGAATTTCTTCTCGTCCTTGGTTCTTGAAAAGATTATCAGATGATCAATGTTGGCTCATTCTCAAAGAAAATGCATTTGGCACTGGGGAGGTGCCGAATGGACTACGACATGTAGGATACAAGATTGCGCAAAGTTGCCGAGGCTTACCATTAGTTGCAAACATTCTTGGTGGCAGGCTGCGCAACAAGGGAGCGGATGAATGGCGAATTTTAAAGAGTGAGCTTCAAAGTTTAGGTGGAGGTGAATACATTGAGGTTGTTGAAATTTTGAAATTAAGCTTTGATCGTCTTCTATATCCATCTCTTAAAAAGTGTCTAGCATATTGTTCAATTTTTCCCAAGGACTTTCAAATGGAAAGGAATCAACTAATCCAACTCTGGGCGGCAGAAGGATTTCTTCATTCAATTCCAAGAGACAGAATGCAAATGGAGGAAATTGGTAACAAGTATTTTACCATTTTGTTGGATAGTAACTTGTTTCAAGATGGAGAGAAGGATGATTATGGGAATGTTTTGAATTGTAGAATGAATGGTCTTGTGTACGATATGGTACAATTCATTTCCAAATCTAAAACCAGAAGTTTGAAAAACTCAACAGAAGCTGATTTTCTTGACCAGACTTTTCGATATCTTGCAGTGGAGAGAAGTGGTGGGGAAGCCATACAATTTCCATTGAACGAGAGTTTCAGGTACATAACAACATTATTTTTATTGGAGAACAAATCAATTAATATTGATGGTTGGATCTCATCTTTGACTAGCTTGCGGGTGCTAAACTTAGCTTCATCAGATGTCGAGGAGCTTCCTGAATCAATTAACAAGTTGTCTCATTTAAGGTACCTCGATTCATCAGATACTCCGATCAAAACATTACCAGTGTCTCTTTGTCAGCTTATCAATTTGCAGACTTTAAGAGTTAGAGATTGCAAATCATTGACAAATTTTCCAAACAATTTCATGAATTTGGTGAATTTGAGGCACTTTGACTTTTTCTCTAGAGATAAATCTAGTGATATAATGCCTCTTGAGATCGGACAGTTGTATGCTCTCCAAACATTACCATTTTTTAATATTGGTGAAGATGCGGGTCGACAAATTGGACAATTGAGGAGTTTAGATAATCTCAGTGGAAGTTTCGAGATACGGAATCTTGAATTGGTGAGAAGCAAGAAAGAAGCCAAGTCTGCAAATCTGATTGAAAAGTCAAACATTAATGAGTTGAAATTATTGTGGAATGAATTAGATAATTTGAGAGAGAACGACAGCGAATACAATCAAGTGTTGGAAGGCTTGCATCCTCACCAAAATTTGAAAGGTTTGATAATTGAAAGATTTTTTGGTGATCAACTTTCGACATGGATTGGAGAACTCAAGAAATTGGTGAAGTTCGAACTGCGAAATTGTAGAAACTGCAAGGAGTTACCAACTGTTGGACACATGCCCTTCCTCAAATATCTTCACCTGGAAGGACTCGACAACATAACAACCATAGGGCCTTCTTTTTATGGTGAATCAATAATGCATAGTCGCAGTAAATTGTTTCCAGCACTTGAACATCTCATTCTAGAAAACATGCTAAATTTGCGTGAATGGGGGAAAGCATTAGATCATGATGGAGCAGTGGAGGTGTTTCCAGTCCTTAACACGATGAGGATTAAAAAGTGTCCCCAGATAGCCACTTTTCACAAGTCATTTTCCATGTCTCGAGAACTTGCACATTGAGCACATCAACAATGGATCAAGTATAGTGACATGTATTTCCAATATTTTCAGGACTCTCAAGAGCCTTTCCATTGATAATATGAATGGGTTCACTAAGCTACATATTTTTCGCCGTGGATCCTTAGAGGAATTACATGTTTGCAGGTGCCACTCACTGGAGTCGATCTCAATCCCTTGGGGACACCCGTACCTCAATGCCTTGCGAAAATTAAGGATTTTTATGTGCAGTAAGTTAGCCCATTTGTCCATCTCGCAAATATACGAGTCAAAGTGGGATTCTAGTTCTTCATCCACCTCTACTTGTCCTTCTTCTCCTCTTGAGGAATTGGAAATATGGGGATGCCCCAATCTTGTCTCCTTTCCAATTGATTTAACCCACAGACCTTCTCTCTCTTTCCTGAACATACCATACTGTAAGAAATTAACCGACTTGCCCAAGGGGAAGCTTTGTTCTCTTACAAGCTTAAGAGAATTGGGAATTGGACCATTTTCAAGAACCACAGAGCTAGATTCCTTCCTAAACCTCTTTGATGCTCTCCAACCATCCCACCACTATTTTCCCTCCCTCTCAAGATTAAGCTTGTATGGATGGCCTCATTGGGAATCTCTGCCCAAGCAACTTCAGCACCTCTCTGCCCTGACAGTTCTTGAACTAGATAGTTTTGGAGTAAAATCATTGCCCGATTGGTTTGGGAAGCTTTCGTCACTTGAACGACTCTTCCTCCACAATTGTAAAAAGCTAGAGAATTTACCCTCTCATAAATCTATGAGAAGCCTCACCAGACTAAGAGAGCTGCAGATTGAAATATGTCCCCTTCTAACGGAAAGATCCAATCCAGAGAGCAGCAGCAGCAGTAGCACCAACCCCATTTCTGAGTGGTCCAAGATCTCCCACATTCCAAGAATTATAATTAATGGGGAGCGAATCAGAGGCTAATCTCCAACTAAAGCTACTAGGCAATCCTCTGTCCTACTGCGCAATTTTTTCAATTAATTTTTGCTTTTTCTATCCATCTATATATATTTCCCCCTTGATATCTTTTCTTGGTATTGACAGCGGTAATGCATTGATGATGTTTGTTAATCGAATCTTTGATTATGCAGCCTACCTTCTGCTGAATTACTGTTGCAAACCTGTCTTTCCTTGGTTCTCTCTGAATTTCTGCTTTCCAGGTAACCTCTCCCTTGTGTTTTTGTGCGTTTTTATTTTCTTTCCATTTTCACCATATTCATTTGTGATCTACTACCCTTTTTAAGTTCCTGCAATGTTTATATCAGCATGCCATTAACACTTCATTTTTCCTTTATTTTTGCACATCCTTCGAGCAGCAAACTGAATTTCCTAGGTTACGTGGAGATTCTAAACTTGACATGATTATCAACGTGATCCTATATTTAGGAGATTGTTAGCCTTTAAAGTAATGAACTTGAAAAAGGTCAATATTTCAACTGATAAGGATAACACCAGGTTGGGCTTTTTATGGATCTGGTAAATCAACTTTCTAGCCTAATTCAGGATCTCAAGGCAATTAACCTGTTAATTGGTGGAAGTAGTGTGGCTTTATTTCTTTTGCCATTTCTGTTTTATTTCTTTTTTCATGATTATCAACATAATCCTATATGGTTCTGGTAAATCAACTCTCTAAACTTCTTTCAGGAGCTCATGGCAATTAACCTGTTAACCTTTGGAAGTAGTGTAGCTTTATTTCTTTTGCAATTTCTTCTATAGCAACAAATGCTACCAAGGCCCATCTTTTACTGCATTGGAAAATTGTAATGACTATTTTGTTTTGTCTGGCAAAGTATTTGATAACCATCTTCTTTTATGTGTACGTTTTTATCTTTTATTTTTTCCACGTATGAGCTTTTCTTTATATGGTTACAGAAATATTGCGACAAAAGTTTCAGCTACCATAGTTTCCTCTTATATGGTGACACAAATAAATACCTACACATTCTTGGACTTGCAAAAAAGAGGGGCTGTATGCTTGTTGAGGGCTTATTTACTACAAATGGATCCAGCAGGGCTCTCTCAAAGGGGACTCATTCTCCTTCATTATATGGAGAAGGTTTAGGTACAATTCAGTATGACTTTAACACTTTTCCCTCTGCTATATTCAATTGTTGTGCAGTTCTGATCTGATGGCATCTTTTCTTCTATTGTAGGCAATACTATGTCTAGTTTGAGAGTGTAGAATGAACCATTAGTAAAAACCCATGGTATAGTATTAAAGGCTGAGGGTGTAATAGATTTTCTTAGAGTCTTAGAGCTCTCCAAGATGATGCAACAAAGATTATTCTGGCAGGCTACTGGGATTCTCATGCAGGAGGTAAACTTTTGGTTCTGATGAAAATTTCATGATTCCAAAAAGTTTATCTGACTTCGAAGATAATTTAAGAACTAAACTTATGAGGATCTGGATAATCAAATTCACAAACATCAGGAATACTTCTTTTGAAAAGCCCACTATAGACCCCCTCCCACCCCCAAAAAAAAAAAAGGCACCACTTTTTGTATTCCTCTTTGGCAACTTTTCGTTAATAGTCCCTTAGATATCAAGAAATAATGATGCTTGTCCGATGGTTGAATGGTCAAGCCGTGCCATGAAGCAATTCCGTTGATATATCTTCCAAATAGAGCTACATGGGGTAATAATAGGCAATCTGCTTTATTTGATGTGGTTCACCTCTTGGTTAGCAAAACATAATATTTGAGGTGGTTCATCTGTTAGTTGTGGATTTAGCTCTTATCCTGTAATAAATTGTGTGCCTGTTGAACAATGTTATAGGGAGATTGCATTCTTTTATGTTGTTAATTCTATAATGCAATTCTACTTTGTCATACAGCTGTTTGACAGCGAGAAATTGGATGAATGGCCTGAAGAGATGTTTCTGATGTATGAAAGCTATAAGCATAAGCTGTTTTCTCAATCTGGCGATGGGGCAGACGCTCTCATTCAGGGCTATCAGATGGCTGATGGAAAACATGCCGTGGTTAGTACTCTCCCTTTGCATATCACAATGTTGCATAAAGTTCAAGCAGGAAGTGAATTTCTGAGATGAGCGTCAATCTTGTTAGCAGTAGAATCCATGTGGATGGCAGTCTCCTGGTGAAACAGTGTGTTTATGCATTGTAAGGGTAACCTTTCATGAAAAATCTTGGTGACTTATTTTTGCTCTGCAAGAATCTCAAGTATGTTGAATAGGCAAAGTCAAATACCTTTTGTAAAACATAATGAAATTAGAAAAGCAAATATAAATAAATATATAAAACAAGAAGATATGAACCACCTCAAAATATTGTGGTTTGGAATATGAGGCTGGCAGTCATAGATTTTCTTGAGGATCAGAGCTCTCCAAGAAGCTGCATCAAAGCCGATTCAGGCTTCTACAGGGATGCTCATGCACGAGGTACATTTTTGTGATGAAAATGTTCTGATTCAAGAAGATATATCTAATTTTCATCACTTCTGCTGGCTTCTTTGTCCTTTCTTCAAACTTTCATAATTGATAGAATCAGCAATTTCTTCGTTAGTTGCCATTTATTCTAAACTTGTCTAACGTTGTGAGTTTTCACTCAATCTTTACTAGGTAAAGAATAGAGCTATGGATAAGCCAATACATGGGAAAGCTACTTGTTGGATTTTTAAGTCATGGTATGTCCTCCCTCTCATAATCATGGATGCACTTCGTGGATCTACTACATCCATTTTCTGGAGTTTGTTTACTATTGCACTTAAACTAGTGGTGATCCAATTGCCTTATAGCCTTTTAGAAACTAAATTTGGAGAAATTTGTCTCCATTCAGATGATAAATGCTGCAAATGAGGCTTGTCAGCCCCTTTACAGAGATATTGCCAGGTCAAAGCCAGAAGCTTTCAGTTTTTGAAGGATCTGAAGTTGGAATATGTGAAAAACTTTAGTAGTAGCCTGCCCGCCAATCAAATAGAAGCCTCCCTATGGAATGCGTATCTTTTGACCTTTTGACTCTGAGTGGTGCAACATTTCTAGATTTCTCACTTTGAGATTGATCATAGTGTATGGAAACTCTAGTCTACACCTGTATTTATGATTTCTTCAATTCTGTATGTTCAATAATGCTGTCTCCAATTCAGTGTATTATTCTTATGATGCTATACCTTTTCTGTGACATTCTGCTGAAGAGTACATTGTTGTTAGATGTAAAAGTGGACGAGTATTACAACATCACCCATTGTAAACTGTATGATCTTGCACAATTTATTTTAAGTGGATAATCTGGTGTCAAAAGAATTTATGAGATTTGTTGTATTGCATATTAATCATTTACAGAAATGCCATGGACGATTAGAAATGTCAGGACAAGACATGTACAAAAAATTTGTTCTTGGAGACCAGTGCTCTTCGGACAAGGGGCACAAAGCAACCGTTTGTGCCGGTTTGTGCATTTTCCAACAGCGCGTAACATTTTTTGCACATCGCGTAACTTTCTTTACACATGGAGTAACTTTAGAACAATTTTTTGTGGGCCCCACACATGGCGTGAAAATCGAGTTACATGCTGTAATCTGAGCCGCACAAATTTTTGAGGCCACATCGTGGCCGTGAACCTTCAGGAACGGTTGTCAGACCGTTCCTACCCCATTTCCAGTGCTCTTCATGCTATGCAGGTGCCAACCTCAATTAGCAGGCTGATAGATATGCTTTGTCTTGATCTATCACAATTTTCGCAATCTCTATTTTCAACCTTTACAACTAAGAGACTTTGAGAATTAAAGAGCAATACTCTCTCGTCTCTGTGCTAATCTCCACTAGAGAGCCTTGAGATCAATTCAGGATTTTGATAAGCCAGAGAGCAATTTTATTTTTTGCGCAGTTGTGTATAAATTTAAAATGCCATCGAAGGTAGGGTAACCGTCTTGTCTTCAAACATTAAATTTCTGTAATGCCGGTTAAGACAGAATCATCAGATTAAAGAACTGGAATATTTCAATAACTTCTCCAGTAGGATAATTATCTGCAAAATTGAGCAAGTCGACAGCTAAGAAGCAGCTTAGGCTACAGTGTTGTTCGCAATGACAGAGCTAAGGGGGCTGATGGGGGCCATGAATCCCCTAAGTTTTGAAAATTTTAATTTATAATGTGTAAAACAAAGTTCGGCTCTTCTCCCCTTTTCAATTTTTTTCAATTTTAATTTTTATTATGAGAGTTTATATATATATATAATCAAAGTTAATATTTGATTTTTTTTAGTTGTCATGTATTTAAATGGATGAAAATTATTTTGAACATGTGGTTGAACAAGAAAAGGCTGCTGATAGACTATCTAATTTCTTAAACACTTACTTTGGAAGCACAAACACAATAGTCCAATACAAATCAATATTTAGAACACATTTAATGAGCTGACGTTTGCCCACATAATCTGTCAGGACCAAGGTCCAATGCTGGCCCAAGTAATTTTTGGACCGAAATCCACTGACCCAAAATGATTAACCCAAATTACCTAATAGCCCAAGGACCCAAGTTCTTATACCTTTCCTTTCCTTTACCACACCACTGATGCGGGATACCTCGTAATGAGTGCCTTGACAGACCAAATCTATTACTCCCTCCGTCCCATTGTTAATGTCATATTTCCACTTTTTACTTGTCCCAAAATTTGAGTCACTTTAAGAAAGTCAAACTACTTTTAAAATTACTTTCCAGTTATACCCTTCTATTGAAAAGTCAAAATTGCACTAAACAATTATGATGGGCCCTGCCATAACACATTTAGCTCCTTGCGTTTTTTTTTATTTCCGTTACTTTTCTTGGACTTCAAATCTTTGTTTTTTCTTTTTCCTTGCTTTTTTTTTTTGTGTTTTTCATTTCCATTTCTTTTCTTGCACTTCAAATCTTTGTTTTTTTTTCCTTTTTTCTTCTTTTTCCTTGTTTTTCATTTTTTTCTTTTCTTTACTCTTTTCAAGCTACACAAGTGTTTGCAGATGCAATGAAAGTTTCATTTCTTGTCTTTCTATCTTTTTTTTTAAACAAAAGAACAAATTTCTTACAATAATACAAATCAAGTTTTTTTTTTGGATAAACAAATAAAGAATGCTAGATGCATTCCTTACCCTTTTGTTTATCACTATTTAATTTTTTTAATGTAAAGGTGAAAAAAGAAAAGGTAAAATTTGTGGAATATTATCCATGTTCACTGTGGAATATTATCAAACAGAATTTGTGCAATAGACGAATCTCTCTATAATCTCATTATATAGAGAATAAAGGCATCAGAATTATCAGCTTCCAAAATCTATTTATAAGAAACGTGAGAAACAAAAAACTTAAAAAAATGCATCTACAAATTTTCAATGAACCGCCAAATTTCAAGAAAAAAAGGGAAAAATAACAAATGGCGCCAAATAAAAGATTAGCTAAATTATGCTAAGTCTCAAGATTATCTACTTCAAATTGATCAAAAGATCATAAAACAAAATGAAAATTAAAAAAAAAAGCACCAACAAAGTGATAGACGGAATTGTAGAAATATTACCTTTTTCCATTGTCAATCTTCTGTAACTGATCTTGTTGATTTTATGAAACCCAAGTATACAGAGGAATAGCTAGAGTTGGAAACGGATGTTTGCTTTACTTTAACTTGTCTTTGCCTTTTAGTCAAATGTCTTAATGGCAAGTGGTCCCCAACATCCAACAGCTTGTTATTTTACTCCACGGACAACAAAGGGCACGATTGGAATAATCAGATAAGTGTGTCCCATTATACTACTGTACATAAAAAGTGTGTTTCCCAAAAAGCGACCCAAATTTTGGGACGGAGGGAGTATCTTATTTTGCTATCATAACCGTCCAATCAGTAAAAGACAGCCCGAAGAGGTAATTGGAAGTCCTAGACAAGTCACAAGCAACTGTCCAAGAGGCATAAAAACACTCATGCAGCTGCATGCTCCTTCCCTCCTCTATGCCAGCCAGGAAAACACTGCAAATTAGGACACAAACCAGACAATCCCCATATTCTGTTGAAGTAGCCATAACAACTTCAAAAGCTTTATCAGAGGTAGCACATAGAATAAGGAAATAGCGCGAACGAACAATAGGTGACAATTTCATATCAGCATGCTTAGGATGGTAATCAAATTCCCGATTATTAATATTCCATTCAAACAATTGAACTGAAGATGTGTGGTTATTCTACAAACACCTCAGAGGCTTATTTAGACACTTAAGAGTTCCCAAAATCATTTAATGCACTTTATATTGCGCTTCTTTTTCTTCTTACTCAACTATCAAATCTTCATTTTCTACTTCAACATGATGCTCGGCAGAGGTCTGCCATCATCCCAAATGATGAAGCACTTGGACCCTATGCAATCTTGACATGCAGTAAATTCATGATATTGCTAATTCACATTGCAAAGTGTAATGTTTTCTCATTCATACTACTTAAATTACTCAAAACGTTGTGCATAAGATATTTAATAAGAAAGGTGAAACACTTGATGAATGATAACTTCTGTTGTACACTTGTTTTTTGTCTTTTTTTTTTTTTTAACTTTCTCCCTCGTTGTCAGATGTCATTACAGGTAGGCTTGTATAACTGTATCAGAAAATTTCTCTCTGGCTGATCCTGGATTTTGCCATGTCAGATTGTTGGCCTATTATGCCCACAGATGGTTCTATAAGATTATTGATCTTTTAGAAATTTCTTTTTTAATTTTCACAAAGTTGTGGCACTCAGAAAAAATAAAAAATAAACAGCATTGATAATTTAGTGAAGACAAAAAAATGGCATGTATTTTAGACACTTAAGCAAATAATTACTGCCACAATCTCTTTGATCTAAGTAACCATAGGAATTCACAAGCTTGGCAGCACTCTGAAGAACATAACCCAAGTTTTTGGGGCCTGATTCTAGACAATTGTCAAGATGATTGACTAGCTTCATTGGGAATTTCGCCATTGACCCTTTATGCAACCAAATAAGGATCTAATTGCTGTTTCTTCAATTAAGACTTTTAGTTCAGTTTCCTAGTTAATCTAATCAAGAGGAGAGAATGCCAATCTATTGGCTCTCATGAAAGGAATGGAAACTGGAAAAGGTCTAGAATATGTTGTAAATGATACTCAAGACTGTAGTTTGGGGCAGATGAGTATAAGAAAAGGAAGGAAATGCCCATAATAAGCTGGAAGGCACCATTGGATAGCTTATCTCAGGATACTGCATCTATAAAATGTAAAGACATGAGCAGCAGGCGGCACCATGTTGATCTCATGGACAAGAGAAATTATCCTTAAATACAAAAGACAATAATCCAATTTTCCCACAACAGAGAAAAATATTTCAATTGCAAATATGAGCATCAAATGATTCATTAGTTTTTTGTTTAATTCTACTTTATCCTATTTTTATTTTCAACATGCACTCAAAATTGCTTGGATCAAACAGGAAAGCTGAAACCACATGAACACCAATTTTTTCACCTTACAAATTTAAAGCAGAAGGATTATCCAAGCAGCACTTTCTCTTTCTCCAACTCCCTAGACCATGCAGGTTGGACTTTGTCTTGCCAAAATAACAATAACAGTTATATCACATATTCTTTTCCGCAGATTATGTCTTTCCACTATTCATCAGTTCTGAGGGTACGCTACCTAAAAATTGAAAGGATAAGTACCTTGCTCTGACAGGTGGAGTAGGAAGAGAAATTTTAATTCAGACTGAAACATGAGATTTCAACACTAACAAGAAAATTTCAGAAACGTCTTCAGGCAATAATATGCTCAAAATATTAACAACAAAAAATCTTACAAGGATTGTAGGGAAAATAAAAAGAGATTCACATATTACCGACTCTAGAACACTCAATCATGGTCGGAAACAACATAAGCAATTGATTCTTAGAAACTGAGTAATATAACTTGCTTTAAAAACAGGAGCTGGAGGAATATAGGACAAATCAGGAGCAATTAAAAATGAATAGCAAACGAAAAAGTAGCAGCAAAACTCACTCAAGTAGTTGCTGCAATTGCTTTCTCGTGCTGCTTTTTGTTCCATGTGATATCTGGATCATATTCATCACGACCAATCTTGTTGCATTTGACTTTCTCCAAGTACTCCATCTCAGGAAACATTAATTGTAATTCTGAGTCGTCAATTTTCAAGTTCTTCAGATACTTCAAACGTAAAATTTTAACTTTCCAACTTTTTTCATCATGGCGCTC